TCTTTCTTTCTTTCTTTCTTTCTTTCTTTCTAGCAGCCGCACCCTTCTAGGAACAAAGTGCAGTTTCTACCGAATGCACATTGCTTTCACACCATCAAATAGCTGAAAAACCTTACATCTAACCATTGTAAATTGTGGATCATCTGTAATTCCAATAATTAGTTATTTTAAATCCATATAATGATAATTTCTTGGGAGTTTCACAAGGAAGTTAAGAGCACCACTCATTGTCATTCTTAATTCCTTGATGTCAAATGTCAAAAATAATTGCTCTAATAATGAGAAAAAGAATACCCTGTCTAGTAATCACACCTCCCTAACTCCTCCCCTCCATCAGCCCTCAATAGATCTATAAGACAACATGATAAGAGATCAAGCCCCACCTCCTTTGCAAAATTCAGCTGCTCAACATAAAAGAGCTAAAAATCCTTTGTTCATTCCCAAGTTCCTCACTAGGCTTGAGCATCAGATCCTGCAGCTGAGTGTTTCTTCATTTATCCCTAGTTTGTTAGGAGCTATATCTGCCCCTCTAGGAGAGAAACATGCCCTGAATTAATGCATTTTCATTTCTTTTCATTTTGCCCCACATGTGAAAACTGATTTATTCTAGATGCCCTCAATACTTACCTTTGGTAAAAAAAGGATTTTCTCAAAATACTCCATGTTAATGACACAAAGAGTATAAAGCAGCAAGTACTAGAAGAAAATTAGGGTGACAACCTTACCTAAATCATTCTAAGAACACTTTCCTCTTTATTATTGTGTTCTTTTCTTAAGAATTTCCTCTACAATGATGAAAAATTGTGATACTCACATGTCATAAGAATTTCCAAACTGGAGATATGATATATGTCTCAGTCATGTGAGAAGGGAGTGGTCTGTTTTTGCCTAAGCTATGGATGTATTTAGATAAATTATATTCCATCGACTTGAAATAGACTGAAAATTATAAGTTGGATAAAATACATATATGACTTAAATCTGGTATAGAGTGTTAAAGCCTCTGAGATTTATTGTCCCCCCCCCATAGGTTAACTCACAAAAAAATTCAACTAGAGAATTTTAGAGGTGGCAGATGTTTTAAAGATCATTCTGACCCTTATCCTACAAATGAGGATAATTAAGATTTAAAAAATTAAAATATGTGCTCAGGTTACTCAAAGTTAGATAACATCTGTGTCTTCAAAATCTTAGGTCAGTCTTCAATTCACTAAGTTTCATTTTAAAATATTTTGGGAACAAGTGAAATAAATCATGTCGTAATCGTCACTCAGCTACCGGGGAGAATGGGAAAGGTTTAGATGTTCTGATACTGAAAGATAACATTAACATAAAGATGATGCTAATAATAGTAATAATAAAAATAATAATGGCTAGTGAATGCCAGGGATTCACCTACTCTAAATGCTTTCTATGTATTATCTATTTAATCCTCACAACAAGCCTGTGAAGTAGGTACTATTGTTATCCCCATTTTACAGATGAGGAAACTGAAAAGCAGTAAATGACTTGCTCAGGGTGACCTTCCAGTAAGTCGAAGACCCAGGCAGCCTGATCCTGGAGTCCACCTCCGCCTTCATGGTGTGGTCGGGGGAAACATGTGAGGCACAGACTGAAGAACACAGTGTAAGCCCATGTGTGTAAGTATATTTAACATGCATGGTTACGTGTCTGTTTATAAATAGACAGCTACAACGTAGGTCTGTAGAACGGCATGAGTGCATGTACAATGTGAATACCCAGGAAACTTAGTGCTTACTGAGAGGCTTGATTTTACATTTTACACATTTCTAGAATGTTTGAATAGTTTTCCTTGCACGTGAATGAGGTCTGTGGGGATGACATCATGTCTCCAACAGGACTCGAGTGTTCAGAATAATCACTTGAATAATCACTTGGAATAACAAGTGTGTACCCAATATGTTGGTGTTTATTGCCTTATCTAATCCTCACAACAACTAAATGACAGCAACAACCATTATCCCCACTTTACAGATGAAGAAAGTGAAGAGCAAAGAGATTAAGTATAGTGCCCCAATCCCACATTGGTCTCCCACGGATACCCCTCACCCACCAATCTCTTCTCCTCCCCCGAGTGTGCAAGGATCACATCCTCACTCCCTCACCAGTGGTCTCAACCATGGCTGCATATGGGAATCATGTAGGGAGTTTGTTAAATGCTGATTCCTGGCCCTGTACCTAGAGATTCCTATGGAATTGTTTTGCAGTGGGTCTTGGGCATTTAGATTTTTAAGGCTCTTTGGGGGATTCTAAAGTGTAGCCAAGGTGAAGACCACTGCTCAAATCAAACTGGCTCACAAGGAAAGAATCAATATTACATTGGTGTAGTGTGGGAAGTTAAAAAGAACAGGTATTAATCTGGCTGGCAATAATTTCAAGGAAGACATTTCAAGAGATGAACAAAGATACATATTAAGTGGAGCACCTCTGATGACATTTCAGACAACTGTGAGCATGACTTATCCCATGGTGATGCTCTGACGTCCCCCCTCTTTTGACGGCTCCATGCTTAATACCCCATCTATCTTGCTGCCAACCACTGGATTCCCAAGCCCAGCTGGCAGGATAACAAGGATCCCTGAGTTTAGGTCAACTACTGTGGCTTCTCAAATGTATAAGGACAGAACCTTTCTACTTGAAAAGGGTGGTTTTTTGTTTGTTTGTTTGTTTGTTTTGAGACAGGGTCTCACCCTGTCACCCAGGCTGGAGTGCAGCAGTGCCATCACCAGTCACTGAAGCCTGAACCTCCTAGGCTCAAGCGATCCTCCCACAGGCACGTGCCATCATGCCTGGCTAATTTTTTACTTTTTGTAGAGATGGGATTTCGCCATGTTGCCCGAGCTGGTCTCAAACTCCTAGGCTCAAGTGATCTGCCCGCCTTAGCCTCCCGAAGTGCTGGGATTCCAGGCATGAGCCACTGCCTCCAGCCTAAAAAGAGTTTTTAAAAGTAACTCAGTCCTCAGAAACTCTATCCAGTTATTTAAATATACTATGAGCTTGCCCAAAAATGACCTGCAAATAGTGAAATCTGGCTTCTAGCCCAGGCTCTGAAGAAGTTCCTTAGTGTAATATGTAAATGATAATGATTCAGTCAGCTAACATCAGAGGGTCTCTCCAATTTGCAAAATAAAGGGGCAGGAGGTAAATGACCCCTTACATGTCAAAAATGGTACTTTTCATTCATAAAAATTCTAAGGTCCTTTCTACCTTTCCAGAAACTAGGCAAGGAAACAGAAGTACTTGTCCTTGTTGGGTCTAGAACTTGATTTTACCCTGCTTAGACGCTAATAAGTTTTGCCTATTCCTGCTTCATGGATACCGGCAGAAGACACGAGGCTCCTGTTCCAAGACAGCATACTGATGTCAGTGCCCTTACAGCTAAGTCTACCAAGTGTGACGCAGATGGCCCAGTTAGATGCATCACGGCTGAGAACCCCAAGCTTGGGGAACCCACTGCTTTTACAGCAAGTGGTTAGCAAGGCTGCTCTTTGCCTGGGAGCAGGTGTCACCTCATCCCTCAAGGTTATTATGTGCATAAACATCCCCAAGATTGGCCTGGGTAAGAGGGTGATCAGAGCCTTGTAGTCTTGACACAGCCAGCAAGATGTGTACGACCACCAGAGACCCCACAAGCCACCTGTCCCACAGGGTCTTGGCTTTTGGTAAATTTTCACATAACTATGATTAACCCACTGGTCCCAGGGCACATGTGTAAGAATGGAGCTCTGTGCAGCCCCAGACCTTCACTCCTTCCACCCCAGGAGAAAGAGAAGCAATAATGATCACTGTCATTTTCATTTTAAGATAACACAACTGAATAATGACAGAATTGTAAAATTTTGATCCATCAAAAAGACATCAGGCTGGTTACGGTGGCTCACACCTGTAATCCCAACACTTTAGGAGGCCGAGGCAGGCAGATCACCTGAGGTCAGGAGTTTGAGACCAGCCTGGCTAACATGGTGAAAGCCCTTCTCTACTAAAAAAAATACAAAATCAGCTGGGCATGGTGGCACATGACTCTAATCCCAGCTGCTTGGGAGGCTGAGGCAGAAGAATCACTTGAACCAGGGAGGCAGAGGTTGCAGTGAGCCAAGATTGTGCCATTGCACTCCAGCCTGGGCAACAAGAGCAAAACTCTGTCTCAAGAAAAAAAAAAAAAAGACACATCATAAGCTAAACTAGATTTATCAATGGAGTAATATATAGGAATAATACATTTATAATAAGCATATTGCATGTTTATAGGTTTAAAACTAAAAGAAAATAAACACAGAGCTCCTAAACAAAGTATTGCTCACTCATGAAACTTCTGGTTTCTGAGCAATTGGCAAGTGTCCTATGTGCTGAGTTATACAGGCGAGATGCCGACCTCACCGCCCAAAGGGATGCTGCAAACAAGCAGCTCTGGGGAGCCTCGAAACAGCCCTGCCCAGCCACTTCCTGGGGCAGCTGGAGAGGAAAAACGGTGTCTGCACAGTGTCTGTTACCTGCCCGACAGCTGCCTACTTAACACACCAGAGGCCGGAAGACCCCTGCTAAGTTGACATACCGATTTCTGCTGGAAGATGTGAGATTTGGTTTTTTGGCAGATCCAGAATTCTCATCGCTTGAAATAACTCAATATATGTAGGAATGATTTGAATCAGGGTATTGCTTATGTGCCATTCTTTCAGGTGTGTCTGCTCCTTCAGTGAATCTGGGAGCTCCTAAAACAGAAAGAATAACGTCAATCAGAACTAGCTCCTCCATGTGCACAAAGCCATGTAAAACCAAGCATTTATTTTAAAACAGGGAAAGAGAAAGCAGACATGAGAGCATGAAGCGTAACCACCAGCACTCCGGCCATTTCAAAAAGAAACCAAAGATACCGCAGTTGCCATCAACTTCACAACCGTATATTAGCCCCATTTCAAAACTGCCGTGAATTCATGATGTTATTAAAATTAAATCCTAGTGAACACAACCAACCAGACTCACACTTGGAGCCACAATATGTATTACTTATTTGCAACATACCAATTTAACATCCCCTAAGTTCTGTCTATACATTCGATTTCAAAATTTGTGCTTCGTTTCCCTTTCTCTGTAGTGGCTTTTAGAAATACTTGATAAACCTCTAATATTTGCTGCACCACATTTCCAAATATTCTTAAGAGTCTATGAAAGGGAAAGAGCATGAGAAACAGTCAGCTGGGACACCTGAGTTCCGGCCCAGGCCCCACCATTTTCCAGTCGCGCCACCTCCCTGGGTCTCCACTGCTGAAATGACATTGATGAACTCAGTGTCCAAGGCCTCCCCTAGCTCAAGTGTTCTGGGATAAAACTGTAAAGGTGTCAAGCAAGAAGCGTTTAAAGACGTTAGGGAGGCTATTTGTCCAGCTGAAGAAATCTAATTCACAGAGAGTTACCGAGCCCTCATTGCAGGCGAGGGGTGCTCAGCACTGAGGGGTGGGGCAAAGATGAGACACACAGGTCCCCTGACCTCAGAAGCTGGCCACAACGCACCATCAGCAAAGTGGCTGGAGCACAGGGTGGAGGTGGGATGAGGTGTGGAAAACTCCATGGCAGCTAAAGGGGAGGTGGAGGGAGTAATGGAGTCCATAGCCATCCTTCCTTTTTGTACTTGGTACTTGCAATGTGCTTTACAACCATTGCCATCCTGTGTGTGGGTTAAGCTGTTAACTTGCAAAAGTGCTTTCACTCTAGCACTGTCTCATGCAACAGTACCATAAGATAGGCAAAGTGGGCTGGGCATGGTGGCTCACACCTGTAATCCCAGCACTTTGGGAGGCCGAGGTAGGTGAATCACCTGCAGTGAAGAGTTTGAGACCAGCCTGGCCAACATGGTGAAACCCTATCTCTACTAAAAATACAAAAATTAGCTGGGTGTGGTGGCGTGCACTTGTAATCCCAGCTACTTGGGAGGCTGAGGCAGAAGAATCACTTGAACCCAGGAGGAGAAGGTTGCAGTGAACCAAAATAGCACCACTGCACTCCAGCCTGGGCAACACAGTGAGACTCCATCTTACAAAAAAAAAAAAAAAATGATAGGCAAAGTGAGCCCCTTTGGAAAAGGAAAGCTGAAACCCCAAAGACATTTAAGTGAATCACTTACAGTAAGGATCCCCTACTGAATTTGCAGAGCCTAGTGCAAAATGAAAATGCAGGCACCTTGTTAAAAATTAAGAAGTTCAAGATGGTGAGCACACAGCATTAAACCAAGCATAGGGCCCTGTGCCACTGCTTCTGCAGCCAACTACCTAGGTACCACCTGCCCCCTTCACGTGGTCCTGGCAAACTGTCCCGACACCACTTGATCTGAATGGAACCCACACCATGCCAGAGGGTTGCCTCCTGGAACTGAGACAAAATGAGTTGGGTCATCAGGGAGCTGACCACAGGCTCATAATCACAATCTCTTCATTGAAACTTCAACGTGCTGACTGCCTCATAAATAACCTATCTCATTCCACTCTTTCAATTATGGCACACATGAAAGATTATTACATTTCTAAAATTATGTTCATGACTATTTTTAACAAGAAAGATATTAAGATAGGCCGGGCACGGTGGCTCACGGCTGTAATCCCAGCACTTTGGGAGGCTGAGGTGGGCGGATCACGAGGTCAGGAGATCGAGACCATCCTGGCTAACACGGTGAAATCCCATCTCTACTAAAAATACAAAAAATTAGCCGGGCGAGGTGGCGGGCGCCTATAGTCCCAGCTACTTGGGAGGCTGAAGCAGGAGAATGGCGTGAACCCGGGACGCGGAGCTTGAAATGAGCCGAGAAGACGCCGCTGCACTCCAGCCTGGGCGACAGAGCGAGACTCCATCTCAAACGAAAAAGAAAAGAAAGAAAGAAAGAAAAATATTAAGATATCATGTTAAATAGAAATGAAAAGAATCGAGTAAAAATGACAGATTGAATGTATGCATATACTTTTGCTCTCCTCCAAAATTCCATTAAAGACAACAGTATAGGAACTTTTTAGGTGTCATAAACCTTGTAGAAGGGCAAAGAGAAAAGGAAAGGAGACATCAGCTGTGAAATGTGGATAACCAGACAGCTAGAAGATGGTAACCTGGCTTCTCAGAGCTGCTCAATCTTAGACCAGCAGCAGAAACAACTGAGATACAACCGGGGCTTCTCACCAGAAGCCACCAGAGACTTGATAGTAGAAGAGCCTGGTATCCCTGGAAGTGAGAGCTGAAGGCAGGGCCCAAAGAAAGAGATCAGGTTCAAAGTCTGAGGACCAGAGCCTTGACCCCCATCCATGCCACCTGGCAATTACAGTGAGGCTTATTCACTGGAGGAGGTTCAACAAAGTCCCTGAACTGGGGTACCTCAGGCATAGCTGAGGCAGGGGAGGTGGCAATCAGATGATGAGTGACAAATGCTGAGATTCTATCTGTCCCAGGAACTGACAAGATCCTTCTCTGTGTACTCTCATAGCTCCAGACAAATCACAAATGTGCATTCATGAACATTCATGAATAATCATGAATAGGAGAGGGGAGGCACCAGTGAGATGGGGACTTTACAGCAACGTCTTCAAAAGCGAAGTGTGCCCGACACACACTCAGAGTTTCTGGTCAGCTTGTTAGTGCTCTGGACAACCCAGTGTCTCCAGACCTCCAAGAAAAGTCCCAACATGCAAGATAAAGACACACACCCTGGCCGGGCGCGGTGGCTCAGGCTTGTAATCCCAGCACTTTGGGAGGCTGAGCTGGGTGGATCACGAGGTCAGGAGATCGAGACCATCCTGGCTAACATGGTGAAATCCCATCTCTACTAAAAATACAAAAAATTAGCCGGGCAAGGTGGCGGGTGCCTATAGTCCCAGCTACTCAGGAGGCTGAGGCAGGAGAATGGCATGAACCCAGGAGGCGGAGCTTGCAGTGAGCCGAGAAGACGCCGCTACACTCCAGCCTGGCAAAAACAGCAAGACTCCACCTCAAAAAAAAAAAAAAAAAAAAAAAGACACACATCCTAAAAGAAAAAGGAAGCTCTGAAACAAGAAAACATCCCCACCCCCACAAAAAAACTATCCAGCACTTTGGGAGGCTAAGGCAAGACAATCACTTGAGCCCCGGAGTTCAAGACCAGCCTGGACAACAAAGTGAGACTCCATCTTTAAAATAAAAAATTTAAATTAGCTGAGTGTGGTGGCATGCACCTGTTGGTTCCAGCTACAGAGAAGGCTAAGGTGGAAGGATCGCTTGAGTTCAGGAGATAGAGGCTACAGTGAGCCATGCTCATGCCACTGCACTCCAGATGGAGTGACTAAGCAAGGCTCTGTCTCAAAAAACAAACAAAAAAAAAAAAGAGGAAAAGAAAAAAAAAAAAAAAGATTGATCTCAAGATAGCTAAGAAAAGCAGAAAAGCCATTACCCTGCAAAATAAAAACAGAACAACATTTTAAAAGCCAAGATTAAGAGATATCTGTAAAAGTGGAAAAATAAAGCCACTTCACAGAATTCATCCATTTGAAAAAACAAACAGCAAACAGCCCCGGGAAATTAAACATGTGGTAGTAAAAATGACAAATCCTATTGAAGGGTTGGAAAATAAAATTGAGGACCTCCCCTAAAAGAGCAGGGTCCGGTGTGTGAGAGCTTCTGGCTCAAAACAGGAGCCCCAGCACCCAGCCCAACCTGGCCACACAGCCTCAGCCAGCCCTAAGGGCCCTAGCAGATCTCTCTCTACCTAGTCCCTAAGGCCCCAGAAGCTCCACAGCGCATTCCGTCCCTCCTGACCTCTTGCAGGGGCCAGGCAGGCTGCCAGGTGTGACTTTAGAGGCCACAACTCCCTCACTGCCACAGAGACTCTAAGAGGTTGCAAAATCCCTTAACACACACAGCCTTTCACTCCTTAGTCAGAGGTGAGGCCGAAGCACAAGCTCTCTGGGGGAGGAAAACAGTAACTGAAATTCACTCTAATGAATATGTGGGGCCCAGAGTCTTCCTGGACTCTCCTGTACTCAGTCACAACAGAGTACAGCTTAGGGGATGGAGTATGGAGAGGATGCCATCCACCTGGTTCACAACGGGGGTCTCTCCAAGCCTGCTGAATCCTAACCATCTTCCCATTCCCCTTACCATACTGGGCACATTAAACACACTTTACAGGCCAGACGCAGTGGCTCATGCCTGTAATCCCAGCACTTTGGGAGGCCGAGGCGGGCAGATCACGAGGTCAGGAGAGTGAGACCATCCTGGTTCACACAGTGAAACTCCGTCTCTACTAAAAATACAAAAATTTAGCCAGATGTGGTGGCGGGTGCCTATGGTCCCAGCTACTTGGGAGGCTGAGGCAAGTGAATGGTGTGAACCCGGGAGGCAGAGCTTGCAGTGAGCCGAGATCACACCACTGCACTCCAGCCTGGGTGACAGAGAGAGACTCCATCTCGAAATAATAATAATAATAAATAAATAAATACAGTTTACAATGATTTTCAAAAGATAGATTGTGAAACATGAGGGCTCATGGCAGGTTCTCCAGTGAACTGGACACCCTTACAGGGTAAGTGGCTTACCTAGGATCATGTTTACTGGCCAACAATATTTAATTAACAACCCAGACATGCCTCCCTTCGTGCCTTGGAATAGGCAGCCCATTACCTACTGATCTCAATGATGGGGATGCAAGGGAAAGAACAGCAAAGAGGTTTACAGCAATACCCTCTCGCATTTTTGGAGAACTGCATACTTCACAGAATATTCATGCACTTCATCCTCTCAATAGCCCTCAGATAGGGTCAGGTCAAGCATTAGCAGCATTTTACTGAGAAGAATGATAAAAACCCATAAAAGTGATATGCATTTTTATCAAATGATAAAAACCACCTCGGATCACATGGCTAATAAAAGACAGCCCCAGGTCACGCCAAATATTTAATCTCTCTACCGAGTCCTTTTAGTCCCAAAATGGCAGGGTAATAGGCTCAAGCTCAGGAATTCAAGACCAGCCTGGGCAACCTGGCAAAACCCCTCCTCTAGAAAAAAAATAACAAAGCCCAGGCAAAGTGACTCTTGCCTGTAATCCCAGCACTTTGGGAGGCCGAGGCAGGCAGATCACCTGAGGTCAGGAGTTCGAGACCAGCCTGGCCAACATGGTGAAATCCCGTCTCTACTAAAAATACAAAAGTTAGCCAGGCGTGGTGGTGCGCACCTGTAGTCCCAGCGACTCGGGAAACTGAGATCTCGCCACTGTACTCCAGCCTGGGTGACAGAGCAAGACTCTTGAACAACAAAAAAAAAAAGACACAAAATGGCAGGATAGAAAGAGATGGAGGGAGGGTCCTAGGGAACCCTGTCCCAATGAAATGGGCAATAGCCCAAGTTATTATGGGGCCTGAGGAAAGAAAAATGGAATTGTCTTTGCCCTGGCCTCAGAATCTCAAGACAGGAAAACCAGAAAAAGGATCTGCAGAATTCCTTTGCTGCCCTACGGCACTTTGGCAAGTAAGTAATTGCCCACTGCCAGGGTGTTAGATGAATGAAAGGCGCTGTCACTTAAATTAATGTTTTCTAAAGGCAAAGAATTATGTTAAGAGACTGGGGCAGGGGACAGGAGAGGAATGCATCCTGAAAGATTGTGCTGTCCAGGAGCGGGCACAGGCATCCCAGCTGCTCAGCCACAGAGGTATCCAAGTGGGTCCCATCACTGCTTCCAGGACTGCGCTGCGTTTCCCTGAGGAAGGGACAGAAGAACCGCCTCTAAAGGCAAAAGCATTCATTCATTCATCCTTGGGCTCAGGTAAGCAGCAGTCATCGACCACAGCACTGCATTGGGCGAGAACTGCCTCGACTCACCGTCCAGTGCTCCCCAGAAAGTTCGAACACAAACGCACTGCTCCGTTTGCCTCTGTCCTTGGGAAGTGAACTCTGCCTTGTGAGAGCGTTCCTTTCAATCTTGTCCAGAAGCCGCACGCTAGTGTCTATGAAGCCATTCTTGCAGTACACAGCCTGGGGGATGCCCTTCCTCCTGCATTCGGCCACAAAGTTCCACTCCTCCTTTATCCTAAAACAGGCAGCAGGGGTCACAGTTACTCTCCTGGGGACTGGCCATCACTGCCTAGAAAAGTGAGTCAGCCACCTGGGCATGGGTGCTCTCCTTATCATTCACAGGCCTATGTAAGCACTCCCTTCCTCTTTCCTCCCTGCTGTGGGGGTGCAGGGGAAACCCTAAACCCTTTTGTGAATTATTAGTAACTTTAACTTAAAAAGTAGAGAAGATGGGTTAGATGGAATTTCTGGCTATGCGTTTAATTATCATTTCCTTTGAAATTATATCACGCCAACCTCAGTTTTAAAAAAGTGCAGGGCCACAGGGATTCACCTATCTTTCAAGGGTATTTGAATAGAAATGCAGAGGAACTCCAGTGTATAAAACACCTGACTTTGGAATGTCACTATCAGTCACTTTGGGGAATTTCACGCCGGTAGATGGACCTGAGGTCCACTCAGACACTGCAGCTGGCTGAGGACTCAGCATCCACACCAAACCTCACCACCCACGTGTCGCTAATTTTCTGACCTATCTTTTAGAGCTTTCCACATCCATAACTTATCCCCCAGCTGGATGCTAAGCTCCATGATGACAGCTGGCATGTCTCACGGCCCTTCAGATGCCCACACAGCTGTCAGAACAGGGCTCTGCACCTGGTGAGCCTTTCTTCATTTAGGAATTTGTTTTCTGTTTGAGGCCTTTAACATATTCTATGTGATGCAAAACAGATGTTTTGTGGTTTTCCTTCAAAACCATCAAACACAGATGTTGTCTGACTCAAAATAAGGTAGCCCACATTTGATAGGGGCTTAGATGCATTCCACACTCAGAAAAGCGTTCCAGACCCTACTCAGCCCAACTGGGAACCTGGTGGCAGTCAGGATTCAGGTCTTCTGGGCGCTACTTTAGACACAAGCTGCAGATGCAGACGTGGTCTCCGCATGGCCCAAGGCAGTATATACACTATATAAGTGTGAGATAAGCCCCATGGTCAGGGAACAATCGTAGTGTGGAAACTCTCTGCTGTTATCTGAAGGAAGGGTGGTTCAGAGTCTCAGTCAGGCTGTAGGGTGGCACTGTGGGGCACAGGCAAGCCTGCCATTGGAGTGGTTAGGAGGGGTCTGAAGGTTTACTGTCCCTGGGACAAGACCATCTTCCAGGACTGGGCATGCGGGAAGTCCCGGTCTGGACCACCAGGTACTGTCAAGTGTAAGGAGAAATTTCAGACTTTGAAAGAAGCAAAACACAGCTGGATAGCCTTTTCCTGGAATACCGGAGCCTCCAGGGGATTCTCCGATTCTATAGGAATGTACCTTTGACTTTGAATAAGCTATTTTATAACTCTGTAGAAAGTAAAGTTAACTTGTAGAAAATGAAAAGCCATACAAATAATTCTCATCCATAAACACACATAAATTTTACCCAGTGGAGGGACAACCCTCTCCCACCCCCAACAACACCAATTTGCTCCCCTTTTTTTTTTTGTTTTTTTTGAGACAGAGTTTTGCTCTGTCACCCAGGCTGGAGTGCAATGGTGCAGTCTCAGCTCACTGCAACCTCCGCCTCCCGGGTTCAAGCGATTCTCCTGCCTCAGCCTCCCAGGTAGCTGGGATTACAGGCGCCTGCCACCACACCCAGCTAATTTTTGCATTTTTAGTAGAGACAGGGTTTCTCACTGTTGGCCAGGCTTGTCTCGAACTCCTGACCTCAGGTGATCCGCCCACCTCGGCCTCCCAAAGTGCTGGGATTACAGGTGTGAGCCACTGTGCCCAGCTGCTTCATTTTCAAATGTATTCAATATTCCTAGTCTCTCAATGTCTGTCCTTTGGATTCTCCTTAGAGCTTGTTGTAACATTTTACAGTTTCCCTCTTATAAATAATGAGAAAAATAAAGTGTTTAATGGATGTTCCTTTTATATCTGCTACAGAATCATGGTTTCATCTTTTTTGCAAATTATCCTTTAATACCAGTTAGGGTCAGAAGGTCAGCAGGGACACTGAGACGTGGGGAGAGACAGCCCAACCTCTTTCCCTGGGCCCTTCTTGTCTTGGGATTTTCAGGGCTCATTAAGTTGTGTCCACCTTTCATCTACGCAGTTCCATTTGCTTTCAATACTGTCTGATTTTAGTCTCACCCACTGGGCACTCAGCATTAGTTCTTTGCTTCATATGATCACAATTTCCCACTCTTGACTAAATGTGATGTGCAAATACCAAGAGTAGAATGCGTGAGGAGGGAAACGAGAGGATCAAAGCCACCAAAAAGGCAAGCAGAAGGCACAGAGCTAGAAGCTCCCAAAGACAGCCCTGAATCAGAGCTGGGAGGACCCTTAGAAAGGAAGTCAGCTGCCTGTAAAGATTCTCGTCAGTGCTTCATCCACTGAGTCTTTCACCCAATCAAGTTAGGAGGGTCACAAAAGATTGCCGGGCGCAGTGGCTCACGCCTGTAATCCCAGCACTTTGGGAGGCCAAGGCGGGTGGATCACGAGGTCAGGAGATCGAGACCATCCTGGCTAACACGGTGAAACCCCGTCTCTACTAAAAATACAAAAAATTAGCCGGGCGTGGTGGCAGTGCCTGTAGTCCCAGCTACTCGGAGGCTGAGGCAGGAGAATGGCGTGAACCCGGGAGGCAGAGCTTGCAGTGAGCCGAGATCGCGCCACTGCACTCCAGCCTGGGTGACAAAGCGAGACTCCATCTCAAAAAAAAAAAAAAGATTAGCAGCAGGGCTAGGGCCTGGTGGTTAAATGTCAATAATTAGGGGAGAGGAGCAGACTCATTCCTTGGGTGTGCTGTATGTGGCGGAAAGGGTAGCCATGAGGGGAGGGCGGTTTGGATACAGCTGGACCCTCCCAGTCATCAACCCTCTATGTTCCAATGGCTTTTATAAAGGTACTGTTACTGGATGATCCACACATTCCACTCCTAGGTACTCACACAAGAGAAAAGAAAGCACATGTCCATACAAAGACCAATGTATGTGTTCACATCAGTTTTATAGCTCCAAACTGAAAACAACCCAAATGCACATTCACAGGTGAATGAATGAAAAAATGTAGTTTCTTACTACTCAGCAATAGAGAAATGAACCACAGATACATGCTACATGAGTGAATCTAAACATGAAAGAAACCAGAAAAAGAAGAATATATGGCTGGGCATTGTGGCTTATGCCTATAATTCCAGCAACTTTGGGAGGCCAAGGAAGGAGGACAGCTTGAGCCCAGGAATTCAAGACCAGCCTGAGCAACATAGTGAGACTCCATCTCTAGAAAAAAAAAAAAAAAAAATGTTTAATTAGCCAAGCATAGTGGCATGGATCTTCTATAACCAGCAGTCCCAGTTACTTGGGAGGCTGTGGTGGGAGGATAACTTGAGCCAGGGAGGTCGAGGCTACAGTAAGCCAAGATCACATCACTGCACTTCAGTCAGGGTGACAGAGTGAAATCCCTTCTCAAAAACAAATATACATATGAAACTCCAATAAATGCAGAATATAGTGATAGAAAGTAGTGATTGCCTGGAGATGGAGTTGGGGAATGGGGCTGGGGGATGACAGGAAAGAATTACAAAGAGTGAAGAAGAAACTTTGGAAACCAAGGGCTCACCTGATTTAAGCCCGCCAGACTTAACCTGCCTTGTTTGCATCTAATCACTTACTTCTGGTAGATCCTAAACTATATAGCTAAAAGTCACGTAGCCAAACAATATGCTAAACTCTCACTAGCTTCCTTACAGATAACATCTCTGAGGCATGGATCACCATGGCAATGGTTACTCAGGTTGTTTTTCAGGGGCAGCCCCTGTCCAGTCCAAACCACTGACCCCTCGACTCAGCTTGCAAGGCTTGCAGGGGTGCCAAAAGATTGACCTTTGACATCAGAGGGCCAAAAACTCCAACCTCAGATCATGCTAACACTGCCATTCTCTGAACACATATCCTGTGAAGAGTCACGTGGCCTGATTATGCTTCTGTAAACCCTGATTACCTCATCTTTTCTACCCACCAATCACATTTCACCATACTTTAGACTACCCCACTTTCTATCCCATGAATATCCCCAAGCCCTACTTTTAGGGAGATGGATTTGAGATTTGTTCTCCTCTCTCCTTGCTTAGCAGACTTGTGAGGAAAATCTTTTCTCTTTTGCAAAACCTGTTGTCCCAGTTATTGGCTTACTGTGCACAGGCAGAACAAACCTGGGTTGGAATCACTTTTAAAGTGATGAATATGGGCTGGGCGCGGTGGCTCAAGCCTGTAATCCCAGCACTTTGGGAGGCCGAGATGGGTGGATCACGAGGTCAGGAGATCGAGACCATCCTGGCTAACACGGTGAAACCCCATCTCTACTAAAAAAAAAATACAAAAAACTAGCTGGGTGAGGTGGCGGGCGCCTGTAGTCCCAGTTACTTGGGAGGCTAGGGCAGGAGAAAGGCATAAACCTGGGAGGCGGAGCTTGCAGTGAGCTGAGATCCAGCCACAGCACTCCAGCCTGGGCGACAGAGCAAGACTCCATCTCAAAAAAAAAAAAAAAAAAGTGATGAATATGATCATTGACAGTTTTATGGGGGAATACATATGTCAAAATTTTTCAGATTGTACACTTTAAATGTGAATCATTCATTGGACATCAATTACCCTTCAATAGGCCTTTCATAAAAATATATTTCATGGCTCCCATTGTAATCATCTCCTGGCATCCATCCTTAACTCCCTTGCCCCTCTCTTGCCATCACTTGAACAAATCACAGTTTAGTTTGTATCCCATTATCTCCCTGCTCTACACCTGCCCCCACACAGTAAATGAGATGAAGGAAAACTCACAACCTTGCACACTGGTCTGGCTTTGAATGGATAACCACTAACTCAGGGGCCCCTCACTGTTGCCCAGGAGTCATACCATACCTCCCAAGACTATTCCTCTTCCCAAGCCCCAGATGACTGTTTCACATTTTCTCCCTTTCAGTCAAAACTCCATTACCACCCACCCCATCCTCATTCTCAACTCATG